AGGACTATATACTCATAGATACCTCAATTCATACCAAGTTGGCCTTGCTTGGGCTCAACGTTTCACTCTTCGCTGTTGTTATTTACATAATCGCAGATGGCAACGTCTCCCCTGAAATAGTATTGAGAATTGTGTCGTTGTGGCGTGAGTTTTAGGATTTTTATCTAAGGGTGATTTGAATCTTTATGCATCCTATTTATGTATAACTTTCTTGAATGTGATTAAATATTTATATGCTTGAGAAAAGTGTAAATTAATATTATATATTTATTTCAGGAAGATGGGTCGTCGTCCGGCCAGATGGTGAGTATCTAATCATTGAGCCTCTAAAATTAGTGAAGTGTTAATCTGAATTTTATTTGCATTGTTACCGAAGCTCCTAAAGCTTTTTGAGATGTACGACTCAGTATTAAATAAGTTCCAATAAATGTGTACATCTCTTCCTTACAGTTATCGGTATTGTAAAAATAAGCCGTACCCTAAATCAAGGTTTTGTCGAGGTGTGCCTGGTAAGTTTTTCTCCTAATTCATAACATTGTGTTAGATGTAGTATTTATATGATTGTATTATTGAAAAGTGTGACTTACTGAAAAAGCATGTTTATATTATTACAATTTAGTAATTGTAATTAATCGTATGTTGAACTTAACTACGTTCTTGTAACTTTTCCAAATATTTTTCACATTGGGCATTGAAGTGAACAATTATGAGTAATTTTAGAAACAATTATGAGTAATAAATATTTAAAAAATAAAAATAACCGCTTTTCTGCAATTATGAGTAATTGTAGAAAAGCGGTTGGATACTGCTATCATGTGGATATTGCTTACTATTTAAAAAATGAGATAGCCGACAAAAGTAAATGCTAGCTTTCAATTAATTTATACTCATCCTTTCTATTTTATTTTAATGCCGGAATCGATTTGGCAATTTTATTGGTTTTATGTTTATGCTTTGAATATTTCTGAAGCACATGAGGACTGACTGCCCAAGGAAAACTGGTCCATGTTTACGTAACACATTGGGAGATGCCAGTATGGTTGTATGACGAATCATTTTTGTTCTTGTATTATCTTAAGCTTTTTTTTCTTGTAGTTATATTTAAAACTTCATGTGTGTTTAAATGGCCTGAAAATGTCGCCTCTTTTATTTTATGTAAAAGACGGTAACCTTCAGGCTAAACTATATGCGAGAAGTGTGTAGATATCATGCAGATTATGTGGCATGTTAATCAAGGACTCTTGCTACAATTAACTTTTTGTATAGCTACATTTACTTTATGCCAAATAGCAAAATTAGCACCTGTACAAAGGATTGAAAAGATTTTTTTTTCAATAATGATCTTGATGATGTGCGTAAAGTAATGAGAAGATTTGATATTGCATCCATTCCACTGTATAATGTGTTATGGACTAAAGATAAATAAATAGTTGGTAATTACCAGGTAGTGTAAAATTTTAAGAATGTAATTTGTTTGATATTGGTATCTCATTTGTATTCTTTACATATGTTCCATTCTGAAAGCGTAATATGAATTGTATATCCTGACTGCTTTTATACTTATTTCATATAATATGAAGAAGTGTTGCTTTCAGGAAAAATAAATGCTAGAAGTGTGTAGATAACCTGCAAATTGTGGCATGTTAATCAAGGATTCTAGGCACAAATTATATGTATTCATTCAGTGGCTGTAAAATTTAAAAATGTCTGTTTTAGTATTTTAATCAGCTTTACTTCAGTACACTGCAGAGTAAAATAGATTATTTCATTGTGTGTTGTATTCATTCAAGAGACTGCCAGTTTGGTAAAGCTGTTACTTGTAAAAATTTTTCAGTGGTAAACTAGTTCAAATTAAATTTCAATATTTATTTGGGTAATTCATTTCTATTTAGTTAGTATAGCTAATTTGAATCCCATAACAAATTACATCTGCATTATAAATAACAAAATTAGATGACTTAAGTTTTGTATGATGCATAATATGTAGGAAGTATAGCCTTTTAAATGCAACTTTGGCTTTCTTCCAAATCACTTTAATCAACCATAAGAGGTATTAATTATGTATCACACAAAGGAGAGGTTGTTTGAAAGTCTTCTTTGCATGGTAAAAAGGGAAATTAAGTCCTCGTGGTCATCCAATATTTTCTTGATGAGGGTCTGAGAATGAGTGGCTGACTGGCGTGAAGCAACAGAAAGCTTCTCTTGCAATCATATTACAGTATGTGTAACTGCTCCAGGAATATTCGCAAACCATGTGCACAATTCCACTCAAATTAAATGCGAACTATGCATTATAAGAAAAACATTGAACTATGCAACTTTTCAATCACGTATTTTATCCAGAAAATGAAACAAAATACTGAACACGATATATTTAATTTTTTATCATCCTTTTTTTAGACTCAGTTGGATAACCACAATTTAATTTCCCCTTTTTTAGACTTTTGTTTTGTCTTTGTGTAGTGGCAATTTTTTGCGCTAAATGACAATTTAGCACCGGTGACAATTTTAGCGCCAAAAATTACCACTACACAAAGGCGGAATAAGTCGAAATTGCAGAAACAAGGCATTGTGCACTCCCTTGACTTTGTCCACATGCACATTGATATATTTTGACCTAAAAAGTCAAAGGAGCACCCAGTTCTAGGTAAAAGTATATTTATGGAACATTCAACTACTCATGTTACCATAAATGAAACAACTTGACGATAATACAAAGGGTTACCTTTCAGTCTACTCTGTTAGTTGACTTTCAAATACTGTTATGCCAAACTAAGAGTAATGAGACTTGTAATTCAAATTATAAGGCAGATAGTACAGAATGGTTGATGTCACAGCAGCATGATGCTTTCTAAGAAAATTTAGGCTATGCAGCCGTAGTGTAAATGTATTAGTTCCAGCAATAAATTTTAATGTTAGAAATTAATATATATAGTGCTGTAGAATGTCAGAAGTTTTGAAACAAAATTGTGATTAATTTTTCTCTTGATTCAGTTTGTTTTATAATATAAAATTCTTTTGATACTTCGTGATGTGTTCCAAAATTTAAAGTTAATAATTGCAATTTCTTTAGCTAATTTGGCATCCCTTTTAATTATTCATTTGAAGCAAATGCTTCATTTGCTTCCCCTTGCTTTGCTGTTTCAGTATACAAATTTTAACAATTATAAAATCTTGAAATTAAAGTATTCTTATTAGGTTAATATGTTTGAAAAAAGTTGTAAAGTATTATGTTAACAAAAAAAGATTCTGGGCATTTGTGAGAGGGAGTTTAGTTATTTTGCATTTTATTGTAGAGATAATATTTGCTACTGTTATGTCCCTTCCATAGATACATATTTTTCATTTCTTCCTTTTTGGGGAAGCAGTTGAATATAATACAATAAAAGAGCCATTATAGTGTGCAACAGAAGTTTTAAAAAAGTGAGATTTTGGAATAATTCATAGTAAATTAGTCATTCAAACAGCATGCATCCCAAAACATCTTATTTAGAATTTCATATCGCAGAATTTTTTTGACATATGAAAAAAGGTCTTTAAGGACATTTATCATTAAACAGTGAATAAAATTCTTATTAGAAATGACAGAAAATGTAAGCAATGATTGTGTATTTCAATATGCAGGCTGAAGATGGCACTATAGGTTAACAAAAACATGTTTATCATTTTCTCCTGGGTATCATGTATCATTTTTCATTTTGCTATAATAAATACCAATAGGTTTTAAATACTATATTTATCAGTGTGCATTTTTTATCATTTATATTTTATTTATTTTTTCAATAAACCAACCAGTTTATCCTGTATAAAGTTGTTCCTCCTAAACTTGCTAATTGAAAATCAACTGTAGCCAGAAATATCCTGAAACTGTTACCTATTTCATGTTATGTGAGAGAGGTGTAGGATTCAGGATAAATAAAAGCATATGGTGTGTAGATAACATGCAAAATGTGGCATGTTTATCAAGGACATGTGTTACATATTTCTGTATTTATTTTAATATATACATACTTGTGTCATTGAACTGAGAATTGATAAAAATGTTCATGCACATAACATTTTAGTGTTAGTTAAGAGGTGTACACATCCCATAGCTGCCAACTCTCCCTTTTTTTTCCCCTTGCCCTGAATTGTGTAAATTTCGTTCTCACATTCCTAATAATCATAATTTTTGTTATTAAATTTTATTTGATGTAGATAATCTCTCCAAGCATTTATAGAATTTTATATGAAATGTCAACTAAATGTTTAATCAGTATGTAAAGTTGTAGGAATCCATTTTGGAACAGGGAACATAAAAAATATGCTATGCTTTCAATGAGATTGAAACTCTGGACCATCCGATTGCTAGCTGGGCATGCTTCTCTAATTGCAGTTAGACATAATCAGTGAATTGAATTAACTTCATCGTATTTCATTTTGTGTCGCTTTAAAGTGACAGTTTTATTTTTTTTTGAGGCAGGAGAAGTTAAAACTGCAATGTTCTTGCTGGGATTTGAATTCTGTGCTAGTGCAATTAGCTCGTGAAAATTTGTGATAGGAAGGCGGAAAGTATCTTACAAATTACTAAGTTTTCCCACACAATAGTATGCTCATTAAATATTAATTTTATTTTTACCATGTTTAAAACTACTTTGATAAACTGAAGCTTTCCTTCCCTTTCCCACTTGGAATTTCTCATTATAAAAGTGTAAAGTAAATTATAAAATGAAATTAATCAGAAAACATAAAAGTTACAACATGTAATTAATATATAATATCAAAATTGTTATACAAACAGTTGGATAAACTGAATCATACATTATAAAGTGAATACAAATCAATTTTGGTTTTTTTTTAAATGTTGCCACAGTTCAGCACAAAAACCTGGAAACTCAAGTCTTTTGGTTGGTGAACTCTCCGTTTTTCATATTTCAAGGTGGCAGCTATAACATCAATATGCGTCATGGTATTTGAGCATCAAGTTTCTAAAAATATGAATTTTCAAAAAGTATGCAAGATTGATTGTGTGTGTTAATTTTATTTCTGTATTATCAGTTCTATAATATAGCAGTGGGAAAAAAATTCAAATTCAGAAGTATTAAATAAGTGTTGAATATAATTATGAAAGTATTCAGCTAACGTAATACAGTATAAAGTCTCTAATCTGGACCTGAAAGCCACAAACTTAAGCATGTGCGTTTGATGAGCGCGTCCGCTACGCATGCGTGTAAAGCCAGTAAAGTGTTTACCCATGTGTGCTTCCAATAGTGAAGAAAGTAACAGAGAACGTTATGGAAAACGAAAAAATTTCGATTGACAAGTTAGTCGGTATTTTCGACACAGCAGGTACAGGACTTGAACAGTGGAACTTTGTAACTGAACAAGAAATTATGTTTATAGAATTAAAAAGAAAGTATTAGCACAAAAAACGAAGCAACTTAAACAACTAACGTTGATAGAAATGTTTACTAAAGTAAACAAATATTAAGCTTTTTTTTTTTGTAAATTTTGATTCCCTTTAGATCATAATTGCTCTTTATTTCATAAATTAGTTTCATATTTTTAATTTTAATTTCTGCATGCCATCTTACCAGATTTAAATTGATATCTATAATCTGGAAAAATCCCTAATCCAAAATCGCCGAAGTCCCGACGAGTGCGGATTACGGACTTTGTACTGCATTATATTTATGTAGTTTAAGCAGTATGAAATGACACTAATTTAAGTGAGTGAAGCCTAACTTATTGCCAGCCTCTTTGTCAATAAGAAGTATGGTTATGCTGTTAGGTGATAATAATGCATTTATTTTGGTAAATTGCATAGATAGCATTTTCACCAATATTTTATTTGCAACATTTAAGGCTGTAAAATTTGCAATATAAAATCAGATAGCCTGATATACAGTAAAGTTTTGAACTTATTTTTATAGATCCAAAGATACGTATTTTTGACCTTGGAAGGAAAAAAGCAAAAGTAGATGAATTACCACTTTGCGTTCACCTGGTTTCAAATGAATTTGAGCAGATATCATCTGAAGCTTTAGAAGCTGGACGTATCTGTGCAAATAAATATTTAGTAAAGATGTGTGGAAAAGATTCATTTCATTTAAGAATGCGATTGCATCCTTTTCATGTAATTCGAATCAACAAAATGTTGTCGTGTGCTGGAGCGGATAGGTGAGTCGCTACAATTTGTTTAAATAATCTTTGCTAAACTTGTATGGCATTGTTTCAGTTTTATTAGTCTTGCATAGTTTTAAAATTAAGATGGGAAGTGAAGCATTTGCATCTAAACTTATTAGCTTTTCATTTTACACAGTTTTGTTTCCATTTTCTTTTTCACGTTTGAAATTTTTTATGAGTGTAAAATTGCTTAAAATAATCACTTCAGAAAAATGCTTATGTCTAGTTGAAGAAAATCATATTTTATGTACAAGTTTTACTCCAAAATAATGTTATTTTAAATTATGCCATAGGAGAAATACGTGAATTTATTTCTTTTTTGTTTGAAATAATTTTACATTTATTTTAATAAATTTAAAATGCTTATTTTGATGTACTTGTTAGTCATTTTTACTGGTTATTTTGAAAATTCGAAAATGTGCTCTAAGCATGTTGTTCAAATAAAAGTAAATATATTTAAAATCTTGTTGCAAATTTGGAGGTTTGTAATTATTTTAGAAATTTTAAGAAAGATGTATAACAGATGATTTATTATTTAGCCTCTCAGACTGCCTTGTTCTCTAATTATCTAATAAGTTATTTTCTATATTCTGTACCACTGGCTAAAGTATTTACTGCTATTGGTAGCTTGTGCGAGAAATTTTAAAGTAATTTTAAAAATATGAAAGTTGGTGCATAAAATAATAAAACTATTAACTGTCAATTAGGTCAAATATAGAAACACTAAAAACACTGGTTGCATTATGAAAAAAGTAGCATGATTTTCATAATATGAAAAGTGTGTTTTTGTTCTCGGGTAGTTGTATTGCAACATTCTTAGCGTATTTTGCTGTATTTAATTGCTTCAGTTTGTATTTCATTCCATTATAAATTTGATAAATGTGAGTGATTATAGTTGCAAAATTTGAAATGTAGCGATTGGAAATACAGAATTTTTTTTTCCCGTGTGTCAGCTACATTTTTTGTGCATATGGAAGAATCTATGCTTAAGAGCTCTATTTTTGTCAGGTTTTAAAAGAATGCAGTCAGCACTTTTCTTTTGATTCATGAATCACCAGAAGACTGGCTGAATTCAGAACACCTGCATAAACCAAATCATCACTTTTAAACATCACTTTAAATCATCACTTCTAAACCAAGGATTTCAATTTTCAAACGAACAAAAAAGATTTCTGATGGTCCATAAATGCCTGTAATCCATAGCAACTTCTGAATGTAAACAAAGTTTTGATTTTTAGATAATTCAGCGTGGTGAATACAAAAATGTTTCTTTATAAGTACGCGAATGAACTTTTTTTTACAAAAGTGCATCGGTTATAAAATATGTAAATTAAAAGTTAATTTATTTCATAGAATTTATTTTATTATGCAATATTAACTCTATAATAATTATCGATCATGAGAGTAAATTTTTCCTTTTAGATAAATCATTACTTTTGAGTATGTTCTATTGTCTAAATACTGAGTTTATGTGGTTAATGTATGTAAGGAATTCATTTTTCTGCAGCTTTTCAGACATTTGCAGCATTTTAGACAATGCATTTTTATAAAATACATTGTAAGGTATATTTTAATTTAATTTTTAATTCTTTCCTTGTTTCAACTTGCATATCTCCAACAGATTGAGTTTTTGGAATTGTGTTGAATGCAAATGAGTAAGAAGTAGTATTTAAGGAAGATTCATTTTACTTTGTGAGAGAGGTAAGAATCCTGAGTAGTGCGTGTTTGCCTTCAGGCCAAGCGTCGTTAGGTGCTGTTATGTTCGGCCGTATATTATGTGCCTATTGCTATTAGTTGGCTACTTTAGATTAGAGGCTAGCTACGTTAAATTTGTTTTGGCTTCGGCTAAGTGATAGTTCCGTATTTCTGAGTTTTTTTAATAGTATATTTATTTACATAGTTTTTCTTCTGTTTGAGTGCAAAGCCCAAATCAGAAGTACCTTCTATTCTTGAACTTCTCTGGTGGAGTTTTAGTAGATAAAAGCAAGATCCTTGAATTTATGCTGGCAATATTAAAATAGCGAAAAAAATATGCCCATCAGTTTGATATTCTGGCCACAGAATAAGTGCCACCCATTTCGTCGACTATATCAGCTGCTCTTTTTGTCATGTTATAAAATGTAATTAACTTCAGATTTCTTCAAATCTCCCGTACTTTCATCAATATGGTCATCGTTGTGCATAGTTGACAAAAGGTTAACACATTTGTTCTTTTCAGCCATATAAGAAAGTAGCATTATATCCTTATGAAACCCCAAGAGAATTGAATGCTGTTCTGTATTTTTATTCGGCACAAATTCAGGTGGGATAATCTTATCCTTGCATATTGTTTCAACGATAGAAATTTTATTTTTCTGTAAGAAATTGGCCAATTCATATCTGATATACCAACTGTCTGTCTCAAACAAAACATGACAATTCTGAAAAATATTTCTCCCAGAATTGTGTAATGGAGCTAAAATGCACTTTGCTTTTTCACAAGAACTGTTGACTTTCTTTTTCTTGTATGACCCATCTGGCTGCTGACTTGAGTAAATCTCCATGTTCAAAGTATAGAAGGTCCTAAAATCAACCACAGTAAATATCTTTATCTTGCAGGTTTCTTAGGCATATACTGCCAAAAGGAGCATCGTCCTTGAAAAGGTTCTAGCTTTTCATGCAGTCTTGTATTCCCCTACATGATATAATTTCTCCACAAAATTTTCAAACAAATCTTTTATTGGAGCTAATTTATCACTCTTTCTTCTGTTATCCCGTGTTCCAAAAGGCACAAAGAATGAAAAGAAAACGCTTATAGTTCATTTGTTTTATGAAAAATATCCAATCTTGTTCCATCAGTCACCCATAATTCTCTAGCATTTACACGGGAGGATTTGTGCAATCCAGCTATGTACGAGTCCTAAAAAAGCAAGAAACTTTTCTTTCTCCATAGGTTTTGCGTCTCTTAAAATTTCCCGAAATATTTTTTACATAATATTAGAGCATCTCGCATCATTTCAACATTGTGTCATCAATATTAGCTTCATTCACGATGGGTGAGCCCATCCTAGATGTGTATGCCAGGCAATTTTTTATGAGTTAGGGGAGTCCTTGAAATCAAAAGTGTTCTTTATCCTTTTTTTTTTTTTTTTTTGTATCTTTTCCTACAAATGGGTTTGATCACAAGGAATGTCTTCTGTAGTTGCACTCTTTTTCTGATTCAGACTGACGATCAAAAATATTGTAAAGTATTGCAGTAATGACAAATAACAGATGATCTTAATGAAACATTTTTTTTTTTTTTTTGGTTGTTTGTTTAGGGGGAGATAGATAATTTGAAAAAATTCTTAGGGCAATTTTTTGTACAACTACTGGCTGGTAAAACTTCAGAATTCGCATTTTTAAACAATTTCTATGTTGCTGAGCAATGGTTACGTCATACAAATATGGCATTGCCACTTCAATAATAATAAATATTTATTTGTGAAATAACAAAATTACAATATCTCATTATCTGAATCTTGTAAGAATGTTCACCTCTGAAAAGATGTTTGGAAACTTATAAGAAATGATGTTCTGCAAATTGATCTTAAAAGGGACCTAATTCATTGCTATATTCATTAGTGCAATTTAATATCCAAAGTGAGAATGGAAAAAGCAATATTCTCATTTCCATTTATGAAATAACCAATGCTGTTGACAAACCCCTGATGAAATTAAACATGACAACATCATTTTCTTCTGAATGCAGCCATACGTATGAAAAAGGCAGATGAAACACTTCTCAAAATGTTGTGTCTGAAATGAGTCGTAAATGCTTTGCGTGAAAAGTTCATGAATTGTTGCCAGACGTTGAAAAACCTATTTTTATTCTAAGAAAGATATTTTTAAATATCTGTTATAGCGAGAGTCTTTGGAAAGACTTCAGCTGATATATTAGTTTTGACAAAGTAGCGAACATGGTGAAGTGAGATTGTTATTATGCCAAGCAGTAATAACTTTAGGGGGCATGACAGTGTGATGGTTCAAGATACGGAATACTGAAGATTCAAACTTAGGTCAAACTACCAGTATTCAGCAATTGTATTGCTCAACTGCTTGTGAACTTGAACAAAAGTATGAATATCTTGTTAGTGAAACCCATGACGTAAGAAAATCGGGAACATTTATAAACTTTTCAAGATTAAAACATGGTCGATTTTGTTATAAATCCCATGATTCTGACATGTTTTAAATACACTCCTGCTACACAGATAGAGGCGGAATGATCTGTCCTGTTTACAACAGATACATCATGTCAATGTAGAATATGAAGGAAAGTTTAGGTTATTTGAATATGGCTATGGACCTGAAGAAAGATGCCGTTTTGAACAACTTTCTAAGGGAAACTGGCTTGTATTTGCATTACATGTGAAGAAAAAAAAAATCAACCATGCAGCCAGCTCTTTAACCATGATATGAAACCAGATCAAACTACCAGTATTCAATATCAGTTGTAGGAAAAACCTGAAGAAAATGCTTGCAATATCATGTAATCAGAAATTAACTATTTAATTTGTTGTGTTGCATAGCAAGATTACTTTTGCAAGTGTCAAGGTAGAGAATACTACTTTTTTTTTGTTTCTTTATACAGGTATTTGACCATGGTATTCATTACATATATTCTCTGTCATTCATACAGAATACTAATATTTTTAGTAAAAAGTGTTTTTTTCATTAAGTGCTTTGCTTGTCAATATACTCAAAATTATGTTTAATAATTAGTGCTACTGTATATTTATAGATTAATGGATTCTACTAAATAATAAATTTAAAAAAAACATTCATTTTCACAAGCAATTTTTCAAAGTTGTTTTTTTGAATTTACTTGCCGATAGCTTAAAATTTTTATTTGAAACGGTCTTTTCATATAATTTGACAATGCCAAGTATCTTTAATAATATTCAAATTCTTTAAAGTAGCATTGTAAAATAAAACTAGATAAAACATTACATCTTGTTATCTTTCAAGATTATTCAAACTTTGATTAATTACTCAAAGCAGGTGGTTTACTAACTTTGATGATCCTGGGAATACATAAAAGATTGTCATCTCAGAGAACCAATAATAATATTTTTTTTATTCTAATCATCTATTGTATATATGCACCCAGCATCCTCTGAAAAGTAATTTTTAAAAATGCATTAAAATATATCAAATTTTTAAGCATGAAAACTGATTTAATTCTTATTATTTTAGGTAAAAATAAAAACTTTAATTATTTAAAATGTATATTATTGCGGCCCACATAATAATATACGTTCCATAATATTTTTAACGTAATAATATACGTTCCATAATATTTTAGGAGCTCTGTGGTTCTGAGTGTTTAAAGACTTAAAAATTACATAAGAACACAGCCATACATACTATTCTAAAAAGCCGTGTTATATTCACCCCTCCCCCGCCGATTTTCACCACCTCAGCTGGTAGTAACGCACCGCTAGCCAGTGGTAAAACGGAGCCCCGAACAGACGAAAAATATTCTCTGTCTAAAAGCGAACCAGGTTGCTACTCCCGACAAACCAATTCGCCGGGTTACCAGAACTTTTATCGCTATTTTTGGCGATGTTTACACCCCCCCCCCCCCCCCCCCCCCCCCCCCCCCCCCCCACCCCCCCCCCCCCCCCCCCCCCCCCATCCCCCCCCCCCCCCCCCCCCCCCCCCCCCCCCCCCCCCCCCCCCCCCCCCCCCCCCCCCCCCCCCCCCCCCCCCCCCCCCCCCCCCCCCCGGATCCCCCCCCCCCCCCCCCCCCCCCCTTTGCCGAAGTGCTTCCAAATAATGTAATGCAGATGAATCAAAGTTTAATATTGGGGCCAATGGTCAAATTTCTGTGAGTTGGCTGAAGACTTGTTGCCCGCTGTTAAGCATGAAGGTGAAAGCATAATATTTTTTGTATGTTTGTTGTGTTGTATGTTTCATTGCTTCTGGGATGGAAATTTTATTTTTATAAAAAAAATGAATGGTTAAAAATAAAAGGTGAGGCTATTTTCCAGGACTGCTCTAATAACACTAGAACAGATGGTGTGAAAAACGTAACCTTTTAATGTGTTTCGAAGTAATCCCCATCTGCCGTAATACACTTCTATGCTCGGCTGTATAAGTTGTGGAAACAACTTTTTTTAAAGTCCTCTTTCGGAAAGCTCTTCAATGTCGGTGTCACGTTCTTGATGTCTTCAACATCCACAAAGCGTGTTCCTTTGATCCTAGTTTTGAGTTTTGGAACTGAAAAGAAACTGTGGGGGCCAAGTCAGGAGAGTATGGCGGATGATGCAGTTCCATGACCTCATGCTTAGCAAAAAACCTCTTAACTGGGAAAGCAATGTGGTGGCGGACGTTGTCATGCAACATGATGTCGACATTGAAGAGCCTTCTGAAAGAGGACTTTAAAAGTTGTTTCCACAACTTATACAGCCAAGCACAGAAGTGTATTGCAGCAGACGGGGATTACTTCGAAACATAGTAAAACTTATGTTTTTCACATCATCTGCTCTGGTGTTATTAGAGCAGTCCTGGAAATTAATAGCCACACCTTTAAGTATGTTAGTGGAACTTTGAATACATCTGCAAGTGAACTTGCAATGCAGAATTCATTCAGTTTCTATCAGAATAATGATCCTAAACATACAGACCTAAATGCCAGCTTGTGGACAATTGTCCTGAATTTATCAAAGCTATTTTATAGGTTTGAATCATATCAGTATATGGAGCGAGTTGAAGAAAAGAATGGGTAAATGACATTTCTTTGAAACTTCTGGTAAAAGCAATTCTTTATGGAGCAGTGAAACATTCCTACTTGAAACATACTTCATTTCCACTTTATGTAGACTGTTGTCAGAATGAATGAATATTAACCCTCTAAGTGTTATAGGTTTAGCCCTAAAATGTCATTAGCAGCCTAATAGAACTGTTAATGTGCATGCAACAGTAATGCATAACTGCTGCATTTGAAAAACAGATTTCTTCTTATTGGTTGAAATGACATACTGTCTCATTTTTAAATAAAAATGTGAAATATTCAGTCAGACTTACTAAAGCAGCTAGCACCATCTTCAGCAGTATTTCTTTCTTCAATAGTATTTACATTTCGTTCTACAGTTTTTGACTTTTGAAATGATGAAACTGTATATGTTCTTTGTATACTTGTTTTTTTACTGTAACTCGTATTCTCAGGTTAGGTCAGCTTCAACTATAAAATATTTATTAGCTGTTAGATTTATAATTTTTTAACCATTTTCATTTTTCAATCAATAGTCTGTATTTAAGCTATTACAAATCTTTAAAACGTTTATTTTTAATATTTTAAGGCTTCAAACAGGTATGAGAGGAGCTTTTGGGAAACCTCAAGGAACAGTTGCTCGTGTAGATATAGGACAAATGATTATGTCTGTAAGAGCTAAGGATCAACATAAGGAACATGTTATTGAAGCCCTTCGTCGTGCAAAATTTAAATTTCCAGGTCGTCAGAAAGTAAGTAAAGTATATTTTTTATTTTCAGTAATATGCTGTTAATTTGTAGAAAAAAAGTTCATTGTGTGCTGATGCCTCGATATTTGCACAGTTCTAATTGTGTCTTGATTTTTTGTATAGGCTGTCCCGTCAGATTAAACTATATTTATAATATAAATGTTATATATTTACTGACCATGTGCTGAAGATAGTGCTAGCTGCTTTAGTTTTTGAAACAAGCAAGCCAGAACAAAAAGTTGCTTAAAGCCAGTTTGGTAAATAAAGTTGCCATGGAGAATCTGAAAACTACATTTTGAAAGACTTCTGATGCAAAAGCAGCAATTTTACGCTTAGTTGTCATTGTTTTCCCCTTTAGCACTAACTTAAATTAAATAATGTTGCTATAATTAGCATTATGCAGAAACTAATCAGTGTGCAAAGAAATGCTCATTAACACCCTATTAGTAATCATAATACTTGTTTGAGATGAAGCCCTAGTGTGCCATATCCAAACAACCTAATCCAGTGGTCTTGCACTTTCAGTCCCTCTGAAGCAATTTTATGTATGCTGCAATTTCATTTTAATTATTCTGTTGCAGATGTTGTGCTCATAGCTTTAGACGTAAAGATAAGGACTAAACTTATGTGCATGGCTGCTCTTTAGGGACAAAATGAGTAGGGTAGGCTTTGTCAGGTCACATGACTACTGTAATGCAAGAAAATTTCCTTCTTAAGTATGATCAGTTAATTTGCAAGCTGACAACTAATGACACTTCAATATTCTTTAATATCCAGTTGAAGATAAAAGTTAGCTATTTAGTGGTTCATTCAACAATATTGGAATTATCTGAAATAAATGTCTAAAATTTAATATTTAGCTGTCAATATACTTTGGTTACAAAAAATAAATGGTAGAAATATCAGCTCTAGAGTAGAATTGTGGGTGCTCCTTCGATTAGCGACAATTTTTTTTTTTTTTTTTTTTAAATTTTGCCTATGAAACCTTATTTCTGGTTACCATGATAGTTTTAACTTTGTTTTAGCTTCCTGGTTTTTTTTTTTTTTTAATGAAAATAGATTGATGTTTACATGGATAAATTTAAGAGCAGTGCACAATGCCTAGTTGTTGTGCAATTCTGGGATGATTTTTTTTTAAGTGAAAAAAGATTGATGATTGCATGGACACAGAGTTTGTGCAATTCTTTGACTTCTTATTTTGGTTTTGTGTTGCATCCATCTTGAAATTGTGCCTTCCTGGCACAAAAAAAAGAATCTCCAATAAACAAGAGGCACCCAATTGTAAACTTTTAATGAAATTTCTTGCGGGCATTTCTTTATTCTTACTTTCAGATAGAAAATTAATTGTAAACTTAATTTTCGCCTTTTTGTTATTGTTTATTATGTTTTGATAGATATTCAGTATGTGAAAATCATCAAAAGGTATTTAAATTTTTTATTTTAACAATATTTTAAAATTTTATTGAAAAGTGTTCCATCCTGTCAGTTACTTTGTGATCAAGCACATGACCCACATATAATTTAAATTTTCAGACTATTGACCTAGCCTTTCTTCATTCCGAAAAATGATGGTGAAAAGCTTTCTAGTAAACATATGTTTTTTAAACTGTAAGGTCTTTTGTAACTTCACGCTGTGTTCTTGTTTGTATCTAGGGCTCCACTATATGTTGGAATTAGAATTTTGTTTTACATATTTGCAGTATAACTTCAATTGTTATTTAATATACAAGTATTTAATATTGAAGGTAATATTTTGCTGGAGATTATAACTGCATTTACATATAATTATTTTGAATTTTCATGTATATATATTATGGTTATTAGTATTGCTATAAGAATTATTATTTTGGTTTGTTAGGGTTGTTTAATATTGCTATAAAGTGTGATTCATGCTAGGTAGTGTAATTTTATATGATTAACTTAATGTGATTTTGTGATTAGGAATATGTACCTAACACTGCATATTCCTTGATTTGTGTATATATTGGGTCATCTGGAAAGTTCTGTTTTTCAAATCAAAAGACATTCCTATCATATTTTGTTGCTGTTAACAAGGTGAGAGCAGATTTTGAATATGGTCTTTTCTGCTTGCATTGCATAAATCTAGCATATGTTGTGGCATAATTTTTGTTTCAGTACTGTGAAAAACCCAGAAGAAGTTATGGTCTGTTATTTAAAAAATGCTTGTGAGATTGCTTCTAAAAATTGTACTGTATATGATAACACAGCTCAGAGAGGGTTAGGAAGTGCAGAAATTTCAGCTTCTAATATAATGCTCACTCTGGATGTTTTTCTCTGCAAACAAGGACATAGTAAAAGAAGCTGTCTCAGAGAATTAATGTATACAAACTATTATATTCTAAACACAATATACGATCATTTGGAAAACACTGTATATAAGCTGCTGCAAGTGTGGGCACCCCATTCTTTAAGAGAGTAGGATGTGCTTGCTTGAGTTTTGGCATGAGATTTTTTTTGCTAAAACAAGATTTTTTAAAATGGTTCATTACTGGAGATGAAAAGTGGCCATTTTGCAGTCATCTTGCAAGAAGATTGTTGGGTAAGCCAAATGAATCTGCTTTTGTTACATTGAGGAGTTGCATTAAAAAATTAATGCTTAGTGTATGGTGGTAATAAGAGAAAATTTTATTTTATGAATTGCTGCCACCAAATCTGGCAGTTTTAAGAGCAAAATTTAAAGACCCCAGAATTAATAAATTGTCGATCTCCCCCTTTTTCCCCTCGCATCCTCCTGTCATGACAGTGCTTAGTGTATCACATTTTGATGAATATCAAAGGCTTATTGAGTATGGCTGGATTGTATCCCTAATATTCACTAGTCCTTGTCCCATTGAATTTTTTTTCGTAGTGACTTGAAAATTCTCTGAATGGCCTGGAGTTCACTTCTTTGGAGTTTATCTCACAGCACTTTGGTTTATGAAACAAAGTCTTAGAACAAAGTGGTACTTATGTGGTTCAATGAAATTTTCTTGTGCATTTGTATTTATCATCAAAAGACTGCAAGTTATTTAATATTTCTTCAGTATTGTTTACTCCATACCATTGTAAATTGTCATAGGAAGCTGCTGTATAACCATAGGCTGGAACCTGGTGTAAGTGAATATTTGTCATTGTAAATACTTTCTTTTATCAAAAATATACACTGGCAAAAAGGAATTTGCACAATTACACTCTATCATAAGAAAAGCTCTCGCCAGTTAGTCTGCAGACGTAGGGATGTCTTGAAGAGGAATGATAAACTATTTTCCCGTCAGCCAGCGGTCTCCAAAAACAAAAAGCAACCCTTGGTTTGACCCTATTTGAAATATACTAGCTCTGCTGCTATAGCGACCCCCTAGACACTGTGATGGGAGCTATTATTCTTATAGACAGATATTACTAATTTTGTATAGATGATCTGTCTCAAAAGAGCAAGTACTAAGTATATAAATTTTGAGTGATTAGACACCGTCTGAGCTGATTATTTTTAACATTACTTTGTAATTATTAATTTGAACACTGTTCTCCCAGTGCAGTTTTATATTTTGTGCTGGTGATTATAAGTTTTTTTTTTTACTTTTCAGATTGCTGTTTCAAAAAAGTGGGGTTTTACAAAGTGGGATAAAGAAGAATATGAAGCAATGCGAGCAGATGGTCGTCTGAAGCCAGATGGATGTTATTGTCACTATTATAACAACCATGGGCCTTTTGATGTTTGGGTTGATATGCAGCGAGAATTAAGAGGACTTGATTAATGTAAGAGTTATATGTAATTAATTAAAGTCCTGAATAAGTACTGGATTTTTCAGTGTCCATTTTCTTTTAAAGTGAACATTAAATTTTAAACTACAGTAAAACCACAGCATAACTAAACTTACTTAAACTGTATCATCTTATTTTATGAAAGCACTGAAATTATCTCTGTATTTGGTACTTAGAACAGTACTTTTGCTTTATATTTATTGCACATAACATATCAGTAGAATACCTTTGGTGGTAGGTTTATAAGGAAATATTAAATTTTCTCCCCTTTTTTACTCAGTTTAGAATAAAATTTCTAACTAGAGATGGCATGTTAAACAGGGTTCGTACGGTCCTTAAAAGTCAGCCATAATTGGGAGAAGGTTCTTAATTTTAATCATGTGAAATTTCTGTCTGTATGACTGAAATTTTAAGTGTGAATTGCCATTTTTGAGGTATATTTTTGGCGATTCACTGATAAATATGGTTATATTTTGAATGGGTTATAATGTGTTCCTATTTCTAATATAAATGGTGGGATATTAGAGTTTTTAAGCAAGAAGTGAAACATAAGCATTTCGAAATTATTTCACTTTTTCTAATGAAGAGATGCTAAATAACTTTTCGTTTGTGGGGATGGGACGGCTCTATTCAGTATGTATAGTAAATTTTTAATTCCAAGATCTGACGATTTTTTTTAAACGTTGTAACATTGATATGTTTCATTAAAATAATGGTAATGTATTGAAATTATATTTTAAAAATAACATTAAAATATGGCATTTTTAATTTTTCCTGTCATATAAAATTATATTTTGGCCACTTATTAGACAATATTTTGAATCTGAAAAATGAAGTATAATGCACAAATTCTCAGAATATGCATCAGTTTTCTCTATAAAATTAATTTTACGCTTTTTAAATCTGATTTTTTTCCCAAAATATTTCTGGCTGTTTGCTGTTACCAAATCTGTAGGGGTAATTTTTCTTTGGGACATTAGACATTACAACTTAAAAAAAGGATGCAACTTGGAAAGTTTAGAAGGATTTTAAGGCAAGATTTATAGACCCACGATTCTAGAAGATTCCAGAAAAATGTGACAAAATGGAAAATGTCTGTATAGTATTAACACATAATGGAAGTACAGAGTTGCCAACTCTCCCCATTTAGGCTGGAGACTCCCGATCTTCGACCGTTCTCCCGACATTTTTTATTCTTAAAATTTCTCATGATTTTTATGGAACTTCGTTATATGAACAAAAAAAAAAAGTGGGTTTGGACATCTGAAAGCAATTGAATTTTCTCTAGATTATATCTAAAACAAAAACTTGCGAATCAGATGAAAACTTCTGCTTTGTGAGTGAGAGCATATACGTATCCAGAAACGTCGTTGCATCGGGCTCCACTGCATGTCATCTGGCGTATATTAGCATATGAGCACAAAGCAAGCTGTTATTTGGATGTTCTTTAGTTATTTCGTTCATCTTGTCCTGAGTTGTGTGACTACAACGTGCCTTCGGGAAATAGTTTTAGAAATTATCTTTTGTTGTGTCTGCAAGAATGGTGAAATACTTGTGTATGTTTAAAAAATCATACACCGTTGACTTTCCTTCCATTATTTCGTCAAGGAAATGCAATAAATTTGCGATGTGTACCGTCTGTTGTTGCGATTTTTCGATTTCGCATGGTGGAAGGGCGGATGTTCTCAAACATGTGCGTACACAAAGACAACATGAGTTGTTTTCTTTGGAAACAAAGGACCAAAAAGTTATTAATGTAGAATGTCTGTTATGTGCCTTTTTACTGGAGCACAACCTGCCACTGAATGCATCAGATCACACTGTAGCTTTATTTAGAAAAATGTTTCCCGATAGTTAAATCGCTAAGAAATACTCAAGTGAAAGAACCAAAACAGGTGCAATTGTTAAAAAAATGGGTTTGAAAAATAAATCTTCAGTTATTGATAGCATTAAAACAGTTCCGTTCTGCATCTCTAGGGATGGAAGCAATAATACTGATTCAAAACTGTTTCCAATTGTTTCTTTTTTTAATCCAGTCTTCAGAAATTGAGTGCAGTTTACTTTCTGTCCCCACTTTAGAAGGATATTTGACAGGCTTTAATATAGCACAGCTAATTAATAAAACGTTAAAAGAAAATGCAGTCCTTCTAGATAATTGCTAGTATTTGGTGCCAATAATGCACCAGTATTGGTAGGCTTCGAAGACTGGTGTTGCAGGCATCTTAAGAAAGGAAAATTCAGATTTACAGATTATGAGTTAATTCATTATTAAAAACAGTATTTTTATCATTTAAAAAGTCTTTAATATTTTGAACAATCTCCTAATTTTTGAGTGTGATAGGTTGGCACGTATGGAAGTATTTTACAAAAAATTTGCAATGAATTTCTTGCTTTTTGGAGAACATCTCTACTTTTCACTAGACACAAGCATGGGAAATATTAAAAATTCTTCTAATCATATCACATGGTTAGGCATTATATAAAGGAATTTTTTTATTAATAAAGAAACTGGAAAATGACAATTTAAGAGATTCATCTAATATGTCTTAATGCACCTACACAGGTCTGACGCTATGCATTTTCGCATGTGGTAAAATCACATGGAATATTAAATTTATATCTGTAGATCCTAAATTTTGCTCACTTGTGCCCTTTTAAATTCTGCTTCCAGTGCCTGCTCTAAATTCTAAAAGTTTTGCCATTTCTAGATTCTAAACATTCTGCCACACCAGCTCTGTAACCGGCCCTTACCATATATGTTTCACATTTCTTCTGAATGTTCGTATTGCTAAAGAAATAAAATTAGTAGCTTTTTATATGCATTTAGTTTTTTTTTTAGAATAACATATCTTTAATTAAATCCAAAAATTTTAAAATGAAAAGGAAGCATGTTGAAGAAAAAAACCGAATACATACAAAGAAAGAAAATTATTTAAAGATATATACAGTTATTATGTAAATTACCCAGTTATTTATAATTTCAGCTTTTACTATAATTTCCCATTTTTATCTCCGCTTCCTCTCTTAGTTCATGCCAGCTCTGATAATTTATAACTTTTTGTCTGCATTATCGCTGCCGGCATTTGAATTAGTTATAACGATAGAGTTACTGAGGCAGCTTAAGTTAAAATTAAATTGTATAGTCTTTGACAACTAGCCCACCTTTTTGTTTGAATTTGACCATTCTTGTTTAATTACATCACCACAAACTGGTTAAAAAGGTAATTTGGTCATCATAAGAACATGCCTTTAAGTGCTTTTTAAATACGAGGCTTATTTACACCTTTGTCTAACTTTGTAGTTACTTTCAGACATAGCGATAATTTGCTTCACGTCTGTCGGGAAGGGGTTGGACTGTTCAACTTTTACCAGATCAATTAAACCCTCATAGGTACATTATGGGGAGGTTGACAAGTTAGGGAGATATAGCACACAGAAACTAGCAAGAACATTGATTTGCATATTGAAAGAATTTTTTAATTCTTAGAAAAGATGCTTTAGAGAAGGAAATCGATATAAATTAGCCAAAATGTCTGGGCACGCTTCAGATTAAAAAGACTCATAAATATTTTGTTGAGTGTTATTGCTACAAAACATAAATGTTAATGTTTTGTATCTTGTAGTGTATGATTATCCTAGTATCGTTTAAGAATCAATGACATAAATAGCATGTATTTTAAACTGAAATTTTATTAGATTGCGATTTTAATAGGGCTTTTTAATAAATATTATTAAAAATAAGCAAAATTTAATAGTGGTCATGTAAATCCATAATGACAGGTTATCTAACTACCTAATTCAATTATTTATATTAACCTGCTGTCCTGCTTTTAGTCAGAAACGCGAATATCATTTTAACTCTACGAATATTAACAGATCTCATTGGAAGAAACCCTCACATCAGCCTCATAAGTGTTTTTTTAAAAACATCTCTTTTTACCATATGATTTGAAGTTTTTTTTCCCTTTTATCCTACTCTACCTGTTGCTAGAGCATTTCTCAAAGTCATTTCTGCATGCCTTCATCAGCATTACAGGTTCATTTCAACAATTCATCTGATACAATGTGTTTGTGCATTTTATTAACCATTCATCTGGTGCATACATAACCTTCAAGGTTTTGTGCCATTAAAAGTCAACTAACCAACCATCAATTATTTATAACTGCTTACCCTTAAAAATTATCTCTGCATATTAAAGTGAGCTATTACCTTTCATTAATCCTCACCGTGGTATAAGATAAAACACAAAAATGTAAAAATTCATGTAAAACTTATTGTTTTTATATAGTGAGACCTAAAATAATACAAAGCAATTTAGTATCACCTCTGGTGGTTTTGTGGCTTATTGGAACCTTAAAATATGTTAACTGGGTTACACTTAAGGTTTCCACCTCTCCCGGAATTCCTGGGTCCTGAAAATTAAAATCTCCCGGCTCCCGGAAGGAATTTAAAATCAATATTACTCTCCCGGAATATCAGGTTCTCGAAAATAAATATACAATGTGCATGGACGAAATGGTAGAGAGCATCAAAAATGACATGACCGCGCACAGCAGCCAAAGAAAGTCTATGTCAATACATATTCTTTGCAACAGCGATCTGTGGTGAGTAAGCGCCTTACGGATGAGTCATAGTTTCATGCCAGGGTGTCATGCTCATCGCCCTCACCCTTTCATTTTCAATCCATTCTTTAATTTAGTCTACTAGCTCAGGTTGGTGCTTACGTCAAATCGCAGCATATACCCACATGGATGCGAGCTTGGTGCATCGGCTATGGCAAACATGTTGGGAAGAAGGAGGGGCGCAGTTGCAGCCAGAGTTACGTCAGAACGTGTGGATCGGCACATCCGCCAACAAGCTGTGGCGATCCCGCAAGTCACTTCTACCGCGATTCTGCAGCACGTGCAAGATATCCTGGATGTTCCTGTGTCGACCAGAACCATTTCCCGTCGATTGGTTGAATATGGACTGCACTCGTGGTGTCCGTTAAGAAGACTGCCATTGACCCCACAGCATAGATGCCAACGTTTAGAATGGT